TTTGCTGTTCGACGAAGTATCGATTAGCTTCAGCCTACGTGAATCGACAAGCAATTCATAGTGCTGTAGAAAATCGATACCTAGTATGGCTGTGGGAACATCAGCAATGATGAACGTCCACAGATACCGTCGTCGGTTGCCCAGGTTGACCGCGAGTTGTCGTGTACCGTAGGTAGGAATGACTGAGCCATTCGCAGCGCGTAGTCGAAGCACTGTGGCTTGTGACTTGCTGCTACCTCGTGGTACGACAGAAACTTGGGCCCCAGTGTCTACTAGGAACCTAGCGTTCGTGCGGTAATCGTGCACGTAGAATAGGCGACCAACCTGGGGTAAAGGGCCGGCGAGTACGGCCGCTTTTACTCGCCGGCGCTGGCGTTTCCCGCCTTGTATGAGCATGGTGCTCGACAACGGCGGGCGCCAGACCCGAAGGACCTATGGAACCAGCACCAACTGTCACTCGCTTCCGTAGCCGCCTTTCGGCGTGGCCTGGAAGATGCCCTTTTTGGGCGAGTGGTGACGGGTTTGCGAGAACTTGAGCGAGCTCGGGGGACGTAGGGTTGGGGTACGTTACAGCGATCTCGGAAACTAAGACGTGTGTGAATACACCCGGCCCTGTCACCATGAGCTGTGGAATGACCGGCGTCCATGTCTACATTAGGACGTGCCGTCGAAGCGACTACATAGGTGTCTCTATTACTAGTCCTCGCCAAAATTTTGTCTGCTATGAGAGCTACCTGGTTAAGCGGTGAGTCCTCGAGCAGTGCCGTCACAGTAGGTTGGATATGGGCTGGTAGTGACTCGAGCCATAATTCCTTGACTATCTCCGAGTCTGATGCTGTTGGTCCTGCAAGAGATTGCAGGCGCGTGAGGTGATGGCTTGGTTTAGCGTCACCCAGGGGGTGACGTGCTAACAGGGTCCTCAATCGTTCCTCCCTCGATGGGAGGAAATGTCGGAGAATTGCCTCCTTGAGGCGGTCATAAACATTAGGCACGTTAGAATTGAGGACAACCTCACGAACAGCTACTAAATGGTCCCCGGGTAATGACTCGAGAGCGTAGGCGTATTTTTGCCTTTGGCTCGTGATGCGACGAGTCTCGAACTGAGACTCTAAAGCAGCAAACCAGACCTCAGGGTCGTGGGGGATAAATGATACAGGTCGAAAATGAATGGCTTGTAGGTCTGAGTCTATAACATTAATAGTATTCTTATCGTTATCCGTCATGTCGTGTATATTATATATTAAAAATTAATATGAAAATATACGACAGACGTGGATAGATAAATAATAGACTCACCAAATTGACTTCTTTGGAAGATTTGACCCGAGGTTGAGGCGTGTTCCAAACTTTGGGATCACCAATGTAGCGTGGCGTCGAGTTGAGATTAACTGTGAACACCGCTACCAAGAAACACGTGCCAGACAAATCAGAAGGCGAGGTTGAAGGTAACCAGATTTATTTCGTTGGCGATCTCGTGGTATTGAACGAATACCGAGATCGTGCCAAGAAGTGGTACAAGTGGAAGCAGAAGACAGGAGTACGTGCGAACAGTACCAAAAACCGCGGAACAATGATGGAAGGTAATGGAAGCACAAAATGGCTATAATTAGCACAGTTAAACAAAAGCACATTAAAACAAACACTGGTACAGTTGGTTATAATAATAATTGTTTTTATTAAACCAGTCGTGTTCTCGTGATAAATGTGAGTCACTACAAAACTATTCCAGAAGAGTCAAGTCTTGATGTCATACCAATTATTATTTGTCCCCATAATTATTTGATTTTTGTGGGAAGCTTGTTCGATGCGAAGCACGAGTATTAAATGAGCTCCATTCTGATTACAATTCAGATTATTTCACATCAATTGCTGTTAATCCTTATCACAAATTCACTTCCAATGTATACTTCAATCAATGTGAGAAATATGTTTTAAACGAAGCCACATTATTCATAACTTGGGGATATAAAGATCCAACATTATTTCGTGGGTGAGGATAGTGTTCAAATTCTAGATAATAATGATTTCACTACAAAGCCGACATGCTGATTGTATACAATTCCAGGTGAGTCTGTTCCGATTTCGTTTGTTAATTCCAATACTAATGAGCACATTCTAGATACTACAAAGTTTCTATCCAATACAATGTCGGCAGACTCAGGATGAACCTAAGAAGAAGACGCAAAACCGATTACAAACACTTTTACTCCTATTTAAGCTGTGGCAGATGTGGTGTTTGAATGAAGTAATGATACCTTAGTACTTGTTGAATGCTCGATTTCGAATTCCAAATACAATACATCCGTTAGTGCTTGTGTCTCACTTCTTAATTCAATTGCGTTATTTCTGGGACTCTTAGTTCGTGCTATAATTCAAATAATTCAAAACATTGTAGGGGTATAGGAAGTTGACTGAGATTTTCGGTGGCAACTTTGTTATTTTCTGAGCACTGTAGACAGCCTTTGATGACCACTATTATTATGAAAGGACGAAAATAGGCATTCAAACATTATATTAAATCAAAATGTCCTTTCCCAATTAATAACGGAAGTGGGTATTAATTTTGTGCATATTGTGCTCCAGAATATTAGAATTATTTGATTTGAATCGAAAATTCATTTACAATCTAACACATAAGTTTAATCAAATGCCACTTGACCTTCTATTTCTCCGTTCTTACACATATTGCATCAAGTGATATCTTGGTAAATATTTCTACCTGACGTGACCATAACCATGCAGTTCGACGGTTTAGGAGACTGACTAGGAAAATATCCCTTTTTATGCAGGAAATGTCTTCAGCTTTTGATAGGAAACCGTAATAGTCAGTCATTAATGAGATCTATAGTCTGATGTGTTACGCGTAATGGTTTCAGTCTGTTAATTGTTTATCATAATAGAAGTATATTTGTGAGGATTTACATATTTGTTTCATTCCTGCGGTAATTCGTAGGTTTGTTTCAAGCTTCATAATTGTAGTCGAGGCAACTACTCAATACTACTGAGACCATTTTTCTATTGTTGCTGTTCTTACACTTATGTTTCTAATCTCACGTCATGTTCAATATTCTACGAAGACAACAAAATAACTGTGAATTCAGACACTTACTCCATGAATAAACGGTTGATACTTGATAAAGAAGAATGATGCACGATTAAAAGTAATGGTGAAAATTTCATTTATGTATTCAGATACTTTTCATTTTCTTGTCACTCTTCCGAAATCAAAAATTGTTTATTCTGTTCTGTACTCCAGCTTATATTTGATTGATTTGGTTAATAAACAAGAGCATTTAATGTATTGTAAGCAAAGCGAACTATACGCTTCCAAGATCCTCCCGATTGACTAGCGGCCAGAAGCTATCAGTCGGCTCCCTGGACACGTTACTTCGATTCATGTTCAGCTCTCATCAAATTTCGCTCATTAACATTGTATCTTTGAATGTCTGTACTGCCGGCGAACTTAATCAGAGCCATGACAAATTTATCAATTATAAAACTGTGTTTTACACTAATTTGTTTAGTTCTTATTTTCAGACAACTTCACAAACAACCGTAGAGTTCTGTAAAATTCTTCGGTTTAACTCGATGTGTTATAAACATTCTTTTACTGAAGAAACGAATAATCGCGATTTTCTGCCCTGATCAGGGATGCTATTATGTATTTAATAGGTCCTGTCTTAGCCTTTGTTCTAATCTTTCCAGTTATCCCATAACCGATGTTTGTTCTTGCCGATTAGCCATGTCTAATCTTGATCATCCCCTACACATATCTGTATGCTAGTGCGTTTATATCTGTACGCTAGCTTGTACCTCTCTCATGCTTATGACGACTGAGTAGCTCATTATTCACGGAGATGGCTACCTATGATACTCAGTTTCAGATGCATATGTGTTGTCTCCTAAGGTTTCTCCGAACCACTGAATGCTTGAAACATGATTTTCTGAAAAACTTCACTGTTTTACCCTTTATTTCCATGTTGTTATTGTCGTAACATGTTTAAGGAATATATACGAAGTAGGATATGTATTTCATCGACCTCAGTATCGTTCGACCATATGGAGTCAAATCTCAGGCCAGTATATCTCTTCTTTCTGATGGATGGGCAATCACATGATGTATTTGTATATACCTGAGAATAAATAATAGCAATAGAGTCAGTGATTCGTATAGTTTCAAGTGGTTTCGTGCTGAATCAAGGAAACTTTTGTCAAGTAAATTTATCTAGTAGGAACTAACAATCAATACTTCATGTACGGGACCAGGTATTATGAAAAACAAGCCAAAATGAAGAAGTCCTATGATTAGTGAAATATTGCTGAGCCCCAACCAGGCAATTTCCTAATGTGGATCGTTAATACATTACGAAACTGATCAGAGGACGTTGAAGTGTTTACCAATTATCATCAAGGTGTTTAGACCACTTCAGAATGCGGGGAACATAATACGCTTTATGTATCTTGAGAAGTACGGATTACTGCCGCCCAAATTAGATGATTTGGTAGATATGATCAACTGAATATTTAATTACTTGAGCTTAGTGATAAGACAATCATAATTGACACATCTAGCTTCTTACTGGAATAAAGTATATTTGTCTAGCTATCCGCTGTAATCAACCAACTTGTGATATTAGAAGTATTTAAGGGAGTTAATCTGAGCTTTACTCCCCAATAACTTCTACCACTAATGTTTTCTCTCTTTACATTCAGGTAGAATATGGTAGCTATCGTACCTTCCCATAACCAATAACTCTGTCCTACATCTCAGGTCGATATTATAAGTGAAAATTAACCTATGAATCCTGTCTACTTATACTGTATACTTATACCATTTTCTGACAGTTGTTCCTGTACATAGAGTACGTTGAACATCACTACGCGCAATGTCCGAAGTAGGCGCTACGTTACTAGTTGAAAAGGCCTATGGAGTCCATCGCCTATCTGGGTTTTATATTTTGTAAATTTCTGCTCACGAAGCAGAACAACATACTTTGGTTATGTTTCACCTGAGTACTGTTGCTGTTACGGTATTTTTACTTGTGACTGCTACCAGACAAGATGATGACATTGGTAAGTCCATTTGATCTCGTATATCACAAATTCCGAACAATACAATATTTTGCTACATTTATTTGTTAAAAGTTTCTTAGAATGCAGTACAAGAGCGGTTCAACATTTGGCAACGGAAATCTCATGTTTTTTATAAGCTAGTCATTTGATCTTCTATCTTTAAATTTAAGGTAGATGTGATTTGTTCCTTAAAACGACATAACCAGATTTAGACTAACGGATCGCAGTTTAGTTGGGTATTTAAAGAATGATGTTTTCTCTGTATTATGATTACAGATGTACTTGAGTAGTTTATCGTTATGCTGACAATTTAAAATAAAATTTGCCTAATATCATTTACTCGTTATTGAATACTGTTGACCACTGACACGTCTGTACAGGTTGATATTTTGGCTTCTGCAAGTAAATTGTTGAAAACTTATCTTTAGTTTTCAAGTGGTAGAGGCTATAAATCGATCTAAGTAGCTCCGGTTATATTACTAAGCAAAACTTAGTTAATATGAGATTCCGGCGAGACTCTAATTTAAGGACGACCTTTGAACAAATCTTAGGCGACCTTGACAATTATTAGCCAATCAGAAGTTAGTTTAAAGTGAAAATATATCGTATGAAAGTAATGGATTACAGTGGATATTCTTCTTTTACATGATTTAAAAACTTGTTAAGGTTTGATTAAGGTTCAGAGGTTCTGAATTCACAATACATATGGAATAGAAACTCGTCCATTGGGTTAGGGTTAGGTTTACGGGTAAGGTTAAGATTTAGGGTTAAGGTTAGGGTTAGGTTAGGGTTTAGGGTTAGGATTAGGGTGCTAACATACGGTTAGGGTTAGGGTTGAGTTTAGGGTTAGGGTCAGTTGAGGGTTAAGGTTTGGGGTGAGGGTTAGGGTTAAGGTTAGGGTTAGGATGATAACATACGAGTTTTTAAATCATGTAAAAGAAGAATATCCACTGTAATTCATTACTTTCTTTTAATATATTCTCACTTTATGCTGTCTTCTGATTGGCTAATAACTGAAGTTGATCAAACTCTTCTGATTGGCTCATCCCTAAATTAAAGACTCGACGTCCCATCTATTGTAACCTCTCATTAATCACCTACTCTCTAAAATCCGCTGTGAACCGATCGTATGTGAGCATCGCGTGTTGAACTTGGCTCCGTGACCTTGAAATTGCTCAATCGCTTCTGATTTGCTCGTCCCTAAATTAGAGTCTCGCCACAGGATGTATCGAAATCGTGTTTTCTTTTGCTATCACTAGCACTACACATCTGGGAGTATCTTGTTCTTCTCAATCAAGTTCAATTTTGATTTAGAGTTGGCTGCTGTCAGTAGTTGTCGTTAAAACTAATTTCAGATACATTGACGATCAAGGTATCTCAACCACGCAATACTGAGGTGTCATTTTGTGTGGAAAACTGTAATCATGATTCTTAACTACCAAATTAAAATCCTAATTCTTCGCATTAATTTACAACCTACTTCGGCCCTAAAGTCTGGTTTAATTCTTATGTGCTGTTTTTTAGACATTGGCAAAACTTGGTTGGATGATTGTATCAAAAATGTGTCCTACTTTTTCTGGTCTCGGTCTAACTTATCATACTTGTAAACTATTTAGCTGATGCAGTTTCGTGATCGCTTCATGCCTGACTGGTGTTCGAGAACTGTAAATCCAGAGCAGTTAAAGAGCCTCCCACTTGTCGGTAAAGGTGATAATCAAGTCTTAGCCTGTTGATGGGTCTCAAAATACAGAAATTCTTATATGAATTCAACTATAGCCGTGTTCCCTCACTTAAATAGGGTATTTAACTCCATTAACTGGGAGGTTTTATGGTTATTTTTACTGAATAGCAGCAAAGAAATATATATACTTACTAAAGTCGAGTCAGAGCTTGTGGAATTCACTTCGGCATAACATCTATTTCCACCTAACAATCCTAAATGTTCCTTTTAGATGTAAATTTCTTTATCAGACTTTTCAAACACTGTCGCACATGTATTCCAGGCAAAATACCACTCAGTCTTTCAGAGCTATTATAATGCTCAACCTTTTCCCGTGTACTACTTCATGGCTTCGTAAACATGGTTTTTGAAGGTTAATTCGATACGTCGGATGCTAGTATTCGACCATAAATGTTTCCAAAGCACTACTCGGATATAGTGTAACTGTCAAGTTGGTACTGTTAAGATATGGTTTGTGTTGCTCATTAATATTTATTTTCTACTTTTATCCAAATCTTGATTTGTATTCCTTTTAGCTTCTTATTATTCGGTCTCATTCGCTCCCTCAAATACGGGATTTCTGATGTTTGGATTTGATGTTAAGTAGCTAAGATTGATTTCCAGGAGGCTCTGGACCTAGATTTTATACAATCTGAGGGGAACTGGTGCTTCACATGGAGTTCGGACTTGCGCGTCCAAGCTCCACAGACTGAGATATTACCACTGAATTATTTGAGTCAAGAAGGCCTTTAGGATTAAGATGCTTATATTAGTCAGTCAGTCAGCTACAACGTAGGACCAGGCACATATGTGCATCGGTCCAGGTTGCCATACCGCATCAGCACAACAAGATGAACACCGGATTCATAGCAGTGGTTATGTCAAAGGTGGTAATATATAAGAGAAAGATTGCATATAGAGATATAATACAAGAAGAAAGAATTGGTTCGTAGAAAGAAAGATATGAAGCGATTTTAATCTCTTAGTTTAAGGGAAGACAGGGAGTGTATACACCGACGCCATTGTGATCGATTCTGAGCCATGTCACCAAGAGTCTCCAACCATTGGTTACGATAGTCACGCGGACCCCAACCAAGTAGTCTGCATCTACCAACATGGCTCAGACTACAAGTTAGTGACTTCAAGCACTGATGCCACGTTTTGGTTTGGCCGCCCCTAACTTTCTTCCAACCATCTCCAATACCGGATAGCATTGCACGTCGTGGTAATCGGTGTTCAGGCATACGTAACACGTGGCCCAACCATCTCAGTCGATGAAGATTCATAACCTCATCAACTGATTTACCATCATTCCCTAATACCCTGCGTCTAACCTCACTATTACTTACCCGGTGATCCCAGCAGACGCCAGCAATATTTCTAAGGCATCTGTGGTCAAATACTAGTAGCTTACGAGTGTCTTCTACTCTTAATGGCCATGTTTCGCTGCCGTAAATTAAAACAGAACGGACTGCCGCGCAGTATACTCGTCCTTTTATTGATAGACGGATATCTCGCGTTCGCCATAGGTGACGTAAGTTGGCAAAAGCCAAACGAGGTTTTCGAATCCGTGCTGAGATTTCGTCAGACACCAACCCATTAGGGCTGATCAGACTTCCAAGATAAGTGAAGTTGTCAACGCGTTCGACTACTTCACTCCCTATCCTTAGTTCAGGTGTTGACGCAGACCAGTCCTGAAGCAACAACTTGCATTTAGAGGGAGAGAAGCGCATTCCAAACATTCTGGCATTGTTGCTTAGTGCTACCAGAAGACTCTGCATTTTGTCAGCGTCTTCACCAAACAGGACTATGTCATCTGCGTATTCTAAGTCGATAAGTGGACCTCCTGGATGGAGATCAATACCCGAGAATTCAGTCGACGAGAAAGTTATTTCCATCAGTAGGTCTATGATGAAGTTAAACAAAAATGGGGAAAGTGGACAGCCTTGACGGACACCACTTGAGGTTGCAAAAGTAGATGACAGTTCGCCATAAGCTCTGACTCGACTAGTAGTGTTCGAGTAAAGAGCCTTCACAAGGTTTATGTACTTCTGAGGTACGCCTTTCAATGACAGACACTGCCACAGAATCTCGCGGTCTACCGAGTCAAATGCTGCTTTTAAGTCGAGAAAGACCACCATTGTCGGACGCCGATAAGTATGCCTGTGTTCTAGAATCTGACGAATGGTGAATATGTGGTCGATGCAGCCACGACCAGGTCTAAAGCCAGCTTGGTTCTCTCGTGTTTGCAGTTCACGAGTCTTAGTTAGGCGTCTGATAATTATCGAGGCTAGTATTTTAGATATTATATTAGTTAAACTAATCCCTCTGTGGTTGTCACAGGATGATTTTGACCCTTTCTTATATATTGGGACGATAAGTGATTGTGACCAGTCAGATGGGATAACGTCTAACTCCCAGATCTTAGCTAAAATATTAGTCAACCTAATCGCTAAAATTGGACCACCATCCTTAAAGACTTCTGGAGCCAGTCCATCTGGACCAGCTGCCCTTCCTCGTTTCAGATTAACTATAGCCTTTTGAACTTCAGCAAGAGTTGGGGGACCTACTTCAATGTTCCATTCACCTGTCTGGGAATGGAGGGTAGTTGTAGAGTAGCTGAAGGCCAGCTGAACTGTTCTCTGAAATGTTCCGCCCATCGTTCTAAACGTCTGGACTGGGAGCAGATGAGAGTATCGCTTTTTCCGAAATAATCTCACTTACACTTGACTTATTAATTCCAGTTTCTTTTATTAGTCTGTAAAGCTGTCTTGTGTTCCCTATAGTCGCCGCCTTTTCCATCTCTTTTGCTTTCGTTGCCCACCACTGCTCACGGTCGTTCCTTAGACTTTTTCTTAACCTAGATCTGATTTGTTGTCGCTCTTCATCATGTTCGGAACCTGATGGGACGAGTTTGCGAGAATCCATCAGTGTGATAGACTTTGAAGAAATCCACTGGTTCTTTGTAACTCTGTGGTTTAAGTCGCTAATAGATGTCACTGCTGTTTCCACAGCTGCTTGTATGTCTTTCCAAGCAACATCTGGGTCAGCCTCGTCTTCAGAACTACCTAAGTGTGACCTCAGTTGTTCCTGGAACCTACTTTTGGTTTTCTCGTTACTCAACTCAGTTCTAATGGGTCTTTTTAATGTGGCTTTTTTGCGTCCAGTGAGGCGCAAGCAGATGCGTGCCCGTATTAGGGCATGGTCGGAGTCCAAGCAGGTACTCCAGAATGAGCGACAATCTTCTACCGACCCTCTCCAACGATGACTGATGGCAATATGGTCTATTTGAGTCCATCGTTGGTTTGGTGTAGGGGGTCGCCATGTTAGACGATGTCTCTCCTTATGCTTAAAATTTGTGTTTGCTAAAAATAAACGATTGTCTGAGCATAGTTGCAGCAGACGATCACCATTATCTGTTCGCTGTGCCGGAATACTAAAATATCCACCTAAATGCCTTTCTGTTTGGTTTAAACTACCTATCTGAGCATTAAAATCACCTGCTACGAGTACTATGTCTGAGCGTTTAGCTTTCTGAAGAAGTTCGGACAGCTTTCTGTAAAATTCATCTTTCACTTCATCTGAGCTGCAGTCAGTGGGAGCGTAGGCAGAAACGAAAAAAGGCAACGACGTGTGTCCCTATCCTTCCGAGTTCTTACGTAGCCGTTCAGCCGAACAGCACATAGACGACTGTTGACGGGGATCCACTCTAGCAGTGCTTGTTCGGCCCTCATGCTTAGTGCTATGCCTACACCTGCCAGTCCACGAGAACTGGCCATCGGGTCACCAGATACACGAAGGGTGTATCTCGTTGGCTCTCCGTTTGCCGAGGTGAGGTCAAGTGAATGACCACACTGGAATCCTGTATGCGTGTTTCGGAGACACAGCATACATCAATGGAAAGAGACTCTAGGGTTTTAGCCAAGGAAGCCTGCTGACCGATTTGACATAGGGTGCGTACGTTGAAGGCTCCAATGTGTAGTTTGGAGCGAGGTTTCAGTAGACCTGGGACAGGTTTTGAGCACTAGAATCGTTGGCTATGGTGACACTTGAGGAGGAAGCCGAAGGAGGAAGTTTAGGGTTGAAAGTCGATGTAGGAGGAATAATAGGAATTGAAGAGGAAGGTTGATTATGAATACAGTGGTCTTGAGTGCTGTTAGAGGTATGAGGGCGGTTATCACTTCCCGGTTGCCCACACCGTGGAAGGGTTGTTCTGGAGGTACCTGAAAAGGAAATTGGATTAGAGGTGGTCTCAGTGACCTGAGAGCGTGACCGCAGTGCCCAAGGGACAACTGCTTGAGGCCGGTCGCGCACGGCCTTTTCGTGAGAGGTTTTTGACGTGTTAGCTCCGTTCTTCAAAGGGCCTTACCGCCGGAGACGGAAATCCGTGAGGTAAGGTGAGGTGTGCATTTTTAGGGTCGACCTTTTCTAACCCCACCCCTCCTTGTGGGAAGGCAGCATCGCTGTCATGCTGGTTGTCTGAAGGAAACACCTTACTGCTGTCACACCTCTGTACAGTCAGCAGTACGACTTCGCCTTCGGACCTTGGGTTTGTTGCTTTTAGTCTTACCGCTCTTCAACCGACCTGTCTGACATGGTAGGACCTTGAGGAACGGTTGTTCCAGCCAGTATAGCTCGGTTGCTTCATCACGATAGGCAAGCCCGACCACCACGTCAAGGTAGCAACAACGGTCGAGAGATGCTTATATTAACCGATTATTGAGTAATAATCGGTATTATTTGTCTTGTTTTTTGTACTGATCAAATCCCGTTAATTAAGTTGCCGTATGGCCATTAATCTAAGTGACTTAACGTATCGTAGACTGTTTTAATGTGATGCGGTTGCAGGTATTTGACTGGCGACATCGAACCTAGGTTCTTTAAAAGTTGGGATCTGTTAGCATGAGGCACCTGGGATCTTGAGGGACCTGATGCTCGTTGTGGAATTCGAACTCAAACTGCATTCGGTATTGTTTCCAATCTGTTTTTTTCCATCTCACTGATTTCTCACTATGCTAACATGTGTGGCAACTTGAAATTACTCAGTAGTGTCAGCTCCTATGTTGATGTTGACTGAACAACGATTCAAGCTAGTGACTCACTACTAGTTAAAACATGGATGTTTTAGCTAACAGCGCCAAATATTGACTTTCAGTCGATTAACTATTGGATGATACGCCACAATGGATTAATGTTTAATCGTCACTTTTTCCATTGGTCATATATTTCCATCTTTAACTATTCAATATCTGTGTTGTTCTAATTAGGTACTGTTTTTCTTTATAAAAATGATAGAGAAAAGCTTAAATTTGTATCTTTCTTACTGATTTTAGGTTACTTTTGGCATTTAAGTGATATTCACTGTGATTTAAAATATGTAAATAAATCATGTAATCTTCCATATGGTAATTATTCTTGTGATTCACCACTCAAACTTGCTTTAAATGCAATCAATGCAACTAGAATGTTATTTGCTAAAACACCGGATTTTGTTATTTGGAGCGGGTAAGTCAATTTATATGTATACATTCATAGTCATTGAACTTTTTCCCGTATTGGTTATGCAATTCTGATTATTATTTGTTTGTGATATTGTCATATGTTCTTATGAGAATTATTGTTTGTGTTGAGTATTGCTGACTGAAGTTCATGTAAGAAATTGTACTATCACTCTTTTGTATACGGCTCTCTAAAAGCTTATTTTCCAACTTCACTTTATCAAATACAGATCTCAATTAATTACAGGTGTTGTATGATCAAAACACATTATTATTAATGGCCTTATTCAATATATGTTTGGTAGAATATAGAATTCTCAGCATAAAGTATTTCAACAAGTTTCTTTAACAAAATAAAACAAAAATACAATAACTATATACATATATACATAAATTAAGTAAATTACCTGAAATTAAGTGAAATGTTTTTTTTTCAATAGAATTAGAATTTGTACAACTTTACATAAGAAGCATGTTTACGAATAGAAGTTATTAACTAGGTCAACTCTAACAATCTGCTCATCACATAGAATATTTGCTGAATAAGTTATTGTTGAGCTTTCATTATCTTCCCTCGAGTGCATACATTCTAGTATATTAGCGCATCGTTTTACCATAAGATATACAATGAGAGGTATAAATGGAGTAGATGATTAATATCTAATAAGATAACGTTTACTAAGAGTTTGGAAGATTTTAAATATCTATTCATAACCATACTGATAATGACCTCGACAGATTGATCACACCCCTTGCTAACTGCTTTCAGCACTTACTGCAATAAAGCAAAGTTTTTATCAAAAGCCCGTAAAAAATAATGGAGAAAAGTAAAGAATATTAGGTAATATACAAGAATTAACAAATCGTAAAAGTAAGTGTCGATTATTGCCAAAACCATACAGCTTCTTCATGTAGTAAGTCAGACGAAAACTTTCTTCGATAACAATAAAACATTAGGAGACCAAGAGAGATTAGAAGAAAACGTTACACCAAGATAAATAACCTCTGATATTATTGTTATTAAAGAATCTCCAACGGTACAAGCTTTATGAGATTCCATAGTACGCAAACGATAAAATATCGGTAGGTCATTGGTAAACAAAATCTTGTAAATGAAAAAAAATACTGCTGTTATAAAAAATTTATGGCAAAATGGTAGTTTGTTTATTGAGCGTAAAGATATTCAGTTAGTAATATTTAGAAAATTTCCTAAGCCATCAAGAGCTGATATTGGTTAGAATATTAGAATTCGGGTCACAGGTTTGAACATCACCTCATCTACTTCGGATCAGGTAGTCAGGTAGAGTCGCTCTCACATGAAAATTTTGACTAATATTAATACATAAAGTGTCAGTCAATTAACTGATATGTTTCTGAAAGCGAATTGCTCCAGACAACTGATACCGATAAATGCACTATGCTAAACGGAACCAACATCGAGTCAATTCACTATACTTTTTCTCTGATGACTTGAAACAAACTGATTAAAATGCGATTCATAGATGCATAAAGTCAAAATGTATTGAATTATAACGACTAAAAATACCATGGTCAATAGGAAGTATAGATTTTTTTGGTTTTATTAATTGTACGGAAATATATATTCAACAATAATAATAGCACTGAAAATTTATCTATCAAACTGAATCATTCAGTAGGTGATATGTAAACAGAGAATATTTTCTTACAAATAGTTGTCAGTTAGATTCAATGTAGTGCATGGCACAAATGTACATCATTCACAGTTACACTATTTTAATACATTACAGACAATATTAACAAGACAAGTAGCAAAATTCGAATGATTATAGTACTGTCGATGATTAGTGAGAAAGACTAAACCTAGGAAGTTTGATCTTTAAAGGAGGGATAAAATTGAAGAATAATAGCTGTGAAACCATGTCGAGTTCGGGATCTACAAGGGGAAAGAAACATGCGCATGGACTATGTCGACTGACTGAATCATTTTCACTAATCCCGACCAACTGATCAGACTTGCTTACTGAATATCGCTTCTTCAATCATGTAATGCATCTTTACCAACGTGGGTTGGTCAAAAATGACAAAAACGTCGTTAATTGACGCCAATTATTAGTTTAACTGTCCTTATGCTTCCTCCAACGTACTCCTACGCATCTGCTTCGGTTGATAAAGATCCATTGAATCATCAGCTAATTCTTTTTGTAAGAAGTGTCACATTTGTTATTTTGTTGCTCTAAATTATCCGTTGTCCTAGGAAATCGTCAGAAACTGGTCACCATGATGGAAATCAGGAGTGAGGCTGTGTATTTGCGTATCCGATACTTAAAACTCCGTTCCTGTACATTCAACTATTACCTATACACATATTAATATAATGCATTATGCAAATTTGATGTCTAGAAAATATTGTATAGTGTGTGGATTATATTCTATCACTATCGGGTTTACTGTTTATGTCATCAACTATATATATTCATATGTTTCCAGAATGTATTCACTCTGATTTCGATTAATATGTTAGTCTTATTAAACTCAACCTAAAAATCTCGTCTTTTTGATATGGTTAGGGATTGTTCTCTTTTTTATCTGCTAATTATGCATTCATTCAAACATAACTGGTTATTTGACAGAAGAAAGCGGATTTATTAATGAAAATGATTCAAATTTTCGTTTTCAATACAAATATGACTAGAGTAGGAAAAATGCCACATAGTAGCTTTGTAATTATGAGAATTGTGGCTTGATGTAGTGACCTTTTTGTGGATTGAAGATAGGCGTAGGTTATCAATATTATAGAAAAGATGTTTTTAAAGCACCGATGATAACGGTGAGTTATGTTAGATGTAGGATACTAGTTAGAGAATAGTAAACCGGCTAATGTTAACTATCCCTGTAATGGAAAGAATGCTTTGAAAATCTCTCCAGAGCATTTTATTGAACAGTACTGTCATTTATTTGTTTCTTCTCCTTGTCGTGCATCTTCACCTTCATTCAGTTCCCTTACTAACCACACTTTATGTTCTTCACTCTTCCTTGTCCAGTCCTTTGTTATTTGATCCTGGTTAAAGATATATCTTTTATTATGTAATATACTGTTGCGCGTTCCCGGACTGTTGATAATAAGGTCACGTTTGACTAAACTCAAGGTCAAGGTGTGCTTCATTGTATGACTGTTATCTCTGTCTGCTTGGAAAGTTTGCTCGAATCTTGGCAGATAGATATCTGATCTCATCTTGTTAGAAATATTTTTTTGTTTCACAGGTATCGAACCTTTGTTTACTAAGTATTCCTTTTGTTGTTTGCCATGTTACTTTGTGTTAGAGGAACCCTTGACTGTATAGCACAGGCTGTACTGTATGAGGTGTTTTGTATACTTGATATAATTTATTGTCTTTACTAAATTGGAACCGTTTAGATTGAACGTGGAGTTTGTGTTTTAGTGTAATTTAATACGAGTCACTCAAAACGCTTTGTATGCTGTACAGAAGAACGTAGCTTGGTCTAATTGAATAAATTTTATTTCTTTAGTTCTGTGTTCAAACGGTATATTGGTATTTCGGTCGTTACAACCACTTTATACCTATTACTATATATGTAGATCAGTGTATAATGTCTAGGGTCAACTAAATAAACAGACAGATTTAGTTCATGGTATCAGAAACCGAATACTAATTGATAGCAGTCTTCAAGTATAGTGTAATATACTGTTCCAATTAAGAACCAATGAACGTATTAGAGAATCTTACTTATCGATGATCTTGTTAACGGCGAGACTATAATTTATGGAAAAGCCAATCAGAAGCGTTTGGGAGATTCCAGGGTTACGGCGCCAATTTCGGTACCTGATGCTCTTAGAGAAGACGTGATAATTGAGCGGCTACAACAGATGGGACTACTAAGAAGTTGAAATTTAACAGAGGACGTAGTATTAAGGAAGACTGGGTAAGTAGCACTTCCATAAATATACCTCACAGGTACTTGGGATTTACGACAGATCAACCCAAAAGGGCCACTTCCGAAAGGTCAGAAACCGATAAGCAACGACAATAATACTAATTATACGGGAATACGTGCAGCCGCGTTCCAATATATATATATATATATATATATATATATATATATACGGATGATTGGAGAGCCTACCGATGCCTGGCTAGACTTGGATATGTGCATCATGTCGTTGTCAACAAGCGCCATTTTGTGGACCTTACAACAGGAGTGCACACTAACAATATTGAAGCTATGTGATCGAGGCGCTATCATGTCCCGAGAGGTCGATTATTATAGAGCCATTTGAATGAGTTCCTCTACCGTATGCACTACGATTTCAGAACCTCAGAACCTCTTTCAAACCTTTATAAGTTTTTGAACCATGTTATTATTATTATTAATTGAACACACAAACATTAGTATAAGGAGGCACCAAATACATATGCGCCACACAAATCTCATTTGATTGTTGTGAGGGCTGTGATACTGTCCGGGTGCCCAAACCGAAACAGGTGGTTTTCTTAGGGGCCACACCCAGAGCCTTCGATTTAAAAGGTCTAATCTACTAGGAAGTGGAGCATCGTAAGGCGATTCATTCCCATGGTAGCCTGTGGCCAACGATTGGTTCATACGCCATTTGTTCCCTCAGGATACTGGAGCCCATGTACACCATTGGTTTGGAATCAGGGTTTTCCAACTCCCCTAGTTGGACTCACCGTGTCCACCAACCCGGTTAAAGCGCCGGACATTCGCTTTCCGTCCTGTCAATTTCGTAAACAACACCCCCACCACGAGAAGGCAGTGAGTAGGACTTCCCTGGCAGAGGCTATATACGCGTGGCCATGTGAGAACATTTCGAGAGGGTGAGCGGACTCTCCCAACTCTCAGTCGTACCAGGGTATTTGGGGGCTTTTGAACCATGTAAAAGAACTATATCCACTTTAATTCTTTGGTTATTTATAATGTATTTTTACTTCATACGAACTGTCTTCTGATTGGCTAATATTCCTCGAAGTCATTAAGGTTCATTCAAGGGTCGTCTATAAATTATAGTCTCGTCAGAATACGAAATCCATGTATTTTCTATTTGATCTGTAACAATATCATGTATCTCAAACAAAATGGTAGTTCTTGAATTGTAAATGTTGACGCTAATTTTTTTTTGAACTATTGTATCTTTTACTATTCACTTCTAATTGTTGTTATGATTTCGGACAAATCTAGTGAAGCAGTGTCCAAGGTATACTACTCAAGGTATACTACTAATCAATAGAATTATAACAAAATCTCATTTAATTTTGCATTATTTCCGTCTCAACTTTCTATTATTCCTCGTATCATTAATCTTGATGATATCAATTTTGCTTTTATGAATTCTAACACTTTAGATTGTTATGTACATTTATGTCGAGTCTGGTTATTGTAAAGTCGTCGTAAAACAATCAAATCTGTCTATGAAAACCCTAGAGTACCTGATACATTTTCCCTCATGTATTCTTAAATAAGGTTTATATGTCATCCATTAATCGTATTCTTTTGTTTCCAGGGATTCAAAATTTGATTCTAACTCAATTAAAAAAAAGGTTTTCTTGTAACACTTTGAAAGTAACCAAAATTTGTGGTTATTTTCATGTTTTCTTTATTTTATCAATTGTTTACTGACCACCTCTAGTGATAATGGGCCACATGATGACAGTTTGACATCCGATCAACTTTTGGATGGCATCCGGTTAATAAGTAAAGCGTTGAAACAATCATTTCCAGTGGATGAAGTTTACATTCTACCTGTATTAGGTAATCATGATGTTGTGCCTGCAAATACTATGGAAATTACACCACAAAGTCGTTCACGTTTTGACTTGTGTCACAAACTTGGTAATGATATAGATTTATGGGGTGAATGGATTAATCATCGCCAAAAGAAATATTCATCATCATCACGTCCCTCTTCCTTCTTCTCATCAGAAAATTCATTAGACTTTCCAATGGCTAATTTCTCACAAAGTAAGCTTTAATTCATTAAATTATGTTGTTGAATACTGTACATTTGAATGGATTTTCTATTCTTCGGTATCAATAAGTTACCAGATTATTCTGTTTTCTCAGGATAGTATGGATGAAGAAATAAATAAGTTAGACAATATTCTATGAAACAACGGTTATCTGACTAATTTTCTCAAAGTATTTCTCTAAACTGACAATTAGAGTACAAGCTGACATGATCAGTAAGAAAATAAACCTTTATCTATGAATCGATTTTAAAAGGGGCATAATGGGCGATATCTCATCATATTAACTTAAAAGATCTGTTGAAAGAACATTTAAAACCGTCACGTTTCATATTGTCTTTTCAACCCAAGTTATGCTTATACAATGATGCCTATAATATCCTCCTCAACGTTTGCATATCAATTCCTGTAAAGGTAGTTACATAAGCTGTACTCACAGAGAGAGGAAGAGAGAGTAGTAATATCAGTGTTTGTGACTGCGAAATATATCGAACATAGAGAAGAATATGGTGTGATATAAAGTCAGTAAATTGAAGAAGGCAAAAGTGATATACACTAATAGTCAGTCTTGAAAGGTAGTTTATGAATACATTGGTCTTGAGTGCTGATAGAGGTGTGAGGGCGGTTATCACTTCCCGATTGCCCACACCGTGGAAAGGTTCTTCTGGAAGTATCTGAAAAGGAAATTAGATTAGGGCCGGTCTTAGTGAACTGGGAGCGTAACCGTCACACCTCTGTACAGTCAGCTGTACGACTTTGCCTTGAGACCTTGCGTTTGATATTTTTAGTCTTACCATTCTTCAACTGACTTGTCTGGTGTAGTAGGTACTCGAGGAACGATTGTTTCACCAATATAGCTCGATTGCTTCATCACGATAGACAATCCCGACCACCATGTCAAGGTAGCAATAGCGATCGGGATACAATAATAGTGAGTGCATCTGTGTCAATGTGATTAATCCCTAATAATATCACTCATCATCTCATCTCAAAACCTATTGATCTAGTAATTGTAAAACAGGAAGTATGAATTCAAATAGTTACTAGTGTAATCGGTATAAGATTTAAAGGTCAAAGATATTACATCACTGTCGGGTTTTAATATTGTTATCCTAATTTGAATATGTGTTAAGGAATAGGTTTTGTTCAACGTCATACTCAAGGTATTTATCAATGATTTCATGGAATGCAAACAGTCATCATCTATTTACATAGCAACATTTTTATAATTGAAATAAGATTAAATCTTTTTTTTTCTAATTTTATTTAATATTTTGGTTTGTTCCGAGTTCATCTATTACATTATTATGGAATATTTGAATTAAATCATTACTGTTAGTTTGATTCACTTTTAACTTTAATCTCTATTGATCTCTATAGTTGTTTTATCTGTTTAAAGTAACTCATTTATTATAATCACATAGATACTTATTTCATTTGTGATCATAGTATTATTTGAGCTAAAAATAGTTTAATTCTAATGCTTTCATTGTTATTCTAAACAATATATCTCCCTTTGAGCTTCAGTTTGGCTTTTGCCAACTCACGTCACCTATGGTAAAGGCGAGATATTCATCTATCAATTAAGGGATGACTATACTGCACGGCAGTTCGTTCTGTTTTACTTTACGGCTGCGAAACGTGTCCACTAAGAGTATTAGGGAACGATGTTAAATCAGTTGATAAGGTTCTTAATATTCATCGCCTGAGATGGTTGGGCCACGTGTTACGTATGTCTGAATATCGATTATCACGACACGGAATGCTGACTAGTGTTGGGGATGGTTGGAAGAAAGTTAGGGGCGGCCAAACCAAAAAGTGGCACTGAAGTGTCATTGAAGTCACTAACTTCTAGTGTTAACCATGTTGGTAGATGCAGACTACTTGGTTGGCGTCTACATGACTCAGAATCGATCACAATGGTGTAGGTGTATACACTCTCTGTCTTCTCTTAAACTATGAGATTAAAATCACTTCATATCTTTCTTTCTACCAACTAATTCTTTCTACCTGTACGATATACTTATATATTACTAGCATTGAAGAATCTACTTCTATGAATCCGTGTTCATTTTGTTGTGGTAATGTGGTGTGACAACTTTGACCGATGCACATATGTGCCTGGTCCTACGTTGTAAATGACTGACTTGACTGACTGATCAGCATAAATGTTCATAAGTAATAATTTAATATTGTCTGATTTTTAATAGTTTTTCTCAATTTTACCAATCTAGGGAATTAATTACAGTGTGATGTTATGAAATCTTTACTGTTGAATTGCATCTAGTCTACTAATCTATCGAATAATTAGTCAACTTATTAATTTCCTGATTAGTTTAGCGAGGTGAATCTGTCTTGAGTTAGTCAGTTATGATAAACGTACAGCTTAGAACATATCTAAATTGAGTTAAGTTACCATGCTATACATTAGAATACTACATGCTAATGGTGGCACATATACAATATACAAGATCCCATCTAAGTTGATCAGCATAAAAGTTAGGAGCGGACAAACAAAAACGTGGCATCAGTCATTGAAGTCATTAACTTCTAGTCTCAGTCAGTCAGTCAGTCAATAACAACTTCTAGTTTGAGCCATATTGGTAGATGCAGACTACTGGGTTGGCGTCTACATGACTATCGTAACCAATGGTTGGAGACTGTAGATGACATGACTCAGAGTCGATCACAATGGTGTAGGTGTATACACTCTCTGTCTTCTCTTAAACTATGAGATTAAAATCGTTTCATATCTTTCTTTCTAGCAACTAATTCTTTCTACCTTTACGATATCCTTATATGCAGTCTTTCTTTTACACATTACTAGCATTGAAGAAACTACTTCTATGAATCCGGTTTTCATTTTGTTGTGGTACTGTGGTGTGACAACTTCGACCGATGCACATATGTGCCTGGTCCTACGTTGTAGCTGATTGACTGATTTGAATTTCAACTCTGCATTTCACTACTGTTTATTTTGTTCGATGCTAAACACTAAAATATGCTCGTTATTCATTCGATAGTGAGTGTATAGATAGCAGTCAAATATGTGTAGACGTGTTCACTATTCATAGTATCCATTACTGATTAACTGACTGACTTACAGTGCTCAATTTAAAAAAGGGTGATAGATATATTCCATGCTTATTTCTGGATTACTATTTCTCGTTTGATTCTGTTTCAATTTTATTTATTTATTTAAACACACAAACATAGGTACAAGAAGGCACTAAGTAGATATGCAACACATAAATCATTCGATTTGTGTGAGGGCTAGGATACTGTTCGGGTGTCGAAACTGAAGCAGGTGGTTTTCTTTGGGGGATCACACCCGGAGCCTTTGACCTAAAGGTCTAATCCACAAGACAAGGGAGCAACCTAATGGGATGCAGTCCCATGGTAGCCGGTGACCAACAATAAAGCGAACGTATTTGATTTTTATCATTATTTAATTTGTTATGAAGCAATAGGCCTAATACTTGTTAGAACTGTTGGGTTTCAACCGATCGGTTAAAATTTCGAATCCTGTCCTTCATCTTCATTTTTTTAGCTTTCACAAGTAGAGTGTATGGCCTACAGGAGAAACATTAGGAAATCATACTTGATAAATGGGCTATAACATAACTTCAGTTAGAATCTATAACGAAGCTGTACTGCCGATTGTCTGAGTCTGTGACGACAGTAATATGTTTCTCTCATACAATCAGCATCTGCAGCGATACTCTCTTCACACAGTGGAAAAATGTGAGATATTGCAACATGGACCGATGCCTATATATGCCTGATCCTACGTTGTAGCTGACTAACTGATTGACTTAATGTAAATTATATAAAAACCTCCCTTGACCTAATATAAATTGATCATCTATAAATAAATAACCATATATTGTCAGCTATATACGTTTATATTTATTTCTATAAAAATGTGATCATCTATTGATAATCGATTTTTCTAACATAGAAAAAGATATAATTCGAGTTCTATCATGAACTTTATCCAACTTTTGTTGATCTATCTATCTTTTATACGTCTCAGAATGTGAATGAATCACCTGACTAGTCACATTAAAAGTACTACTCTAGCACAAGTGATAAGGAGTAGTGGGGATAGTAACGGGGGATTGAAAAAAAAGTTTTTCTATTTTCTTCCTTTTTTATATAAAACTAATTATATATATATATATATATATATATATATATATATATATATATATATATATATATATATATATGCATAGTGATTAACAATAGAATCCAGAAAGCACATTGCATTCTATTTTATGACTTGTTAGCTAGATTTACGTATATCGTAGTATTGATGTTCTATACGAGGACTTGAGCTTAATATTTTTCGATTTAAACATCAATACATTATTCACTGTGCTGCTGATTTCAGATAGATAGGTATCTCTAGTTAACGAGCTCTAAGTGAGAAAAAAAAGTCGATATCCTGGATTTCACCGCTTACGGGTTATTGAGATTAAAAAAGAAGTTACAACTAAATTAACCATATCAACAGAATCCTTTCAGGATGTACATTTACCAATAGAGACGGGTCAGTTGGAATCCTTAACATCTACTGTGAGAAATGCAACTCCTTAAATATCATATGTATATATTGAAAATGACTCAAGTTATAGGATAATTTTAAGTAAACGGAATACACCCATTAAGACATTAAATAAAAAAGATTAGTTCAGCGAAGAGTTCTCTTTTCGGCGAATTCATTTTCAAAGCTGTACAATCGTAAATATGGATACTTATTATCAGAATGGGTTTTGTGGAGAATTTTAGAATTTTCACAGTTTTCATGATGATAATAAACTTCTGTTAGACATGGTGACAGTGAGGTTAAATAAACAAAGGTATGAAAATATTTAAAACAAGGAAAGTTTAATAACTGTTTGATTGTGAATGGCTTAAATATTCATCAAAAGATAGATAGGGAAATTATCATTGGGAAATATAAAATGTTGAAATTGAGATTAAAGGTAA